ATTATTTTGCTGAGTTGAGGTTGAAATAGATGAGACTACGTAACATGCCGATAGGAGGGTGCCTGGTCCACCTCCGAGTACTGCACAAACATAAAGCACCCTTAGCACTGAACTTCAGAGCTGGCAGATGCCCTTTACTGGCTGCAGAACAGCACACCTGGGAAGTGGTCTTACTTAGCGGAGGCCACTCAGGCAGTCCTTGCAGGCAAGGTGATTGGAACCCAGCCTCTTTCCACCAAACCATCTTGCCACATCCTTGGCTCCTTTTAATGATACATCTCATGAGAGCACCACTTTATTATTTTGAATGCTTTGGGTGGAAAAGTACAAGGTACAGCTCAAAGTAAATGTTTTTCTGCAGGTGGGCCTGAGTGAGTCAGAGGTCCACTTCCTTTAAGTGATGCAATGTTGTGGCATTTGTGTGCCTGGGAGCATGCTGCCTAACCAACACCACTGTGCTTTAGCTTTTTCACCAAACTCATTGTCTGTTGGAGGTTTTTAGGAAGATTAAATGAGTTAATGCATTCAGGGGAATAGAGACTGTGCCTGGCATGTAGTGTGCACTCCGTGAATGCCTGCCATCATCATCATCATCATCATTATTATGTATTTACAGACAGAAGTTGCACAGCTGCCTACTGACTGGGAAAAAAAAGGAAGGAAAGAGGGAGGAAGGAAGGAGAAAAAAGATAAGGCCACACAAACCAATTAGTGAGCCGCTTGTCAGGTCTGTGGCAAGCCATTTGGGATGTATTGCTAAGGCATCTCTTGAAGTGGGGTTATGGGGGAGCAGGGTACCTGGGAAGAGTAACAATTCCTAGTACTCTTATTTCTTACTCTTACAAGAGCTGTTCTTCCGGCCTGGCCCCAGGCGGGGAGTGACTCTGATGGCACCAGTGTGTTAATGGGTGGATGATCACAGAGCATGCACGCATAACTCAAAGCCCAGCGGGCACCATGAAGGTGCTTGGGAGCTCCCCAAAGATAAGATGAGAAAGAGCCTGGGCTTTCCGATCAACAGAAGATGGTGATGAAGGGACATCTGCCCTGAACCTTCCAGAAGCACAGGCTAAAAGTCACTGGAGTCCTGAAATGTCTTGCTCCACAGCGAAGTATTTCAGCCCCACTGAGGTCAGGTGTGACTCGTCCAGACCCATTTCCCACCATAGTTCTCTGCTCAGCCCCTGAGTCTCACTGCACTACCTCCTGTTGCTGCCTCAGCCCCACTCACCCCTGTTCCCTGCAGAGGACAGCCAGCCTCAGGGGCCAGCTACGAGCTGCTTCTGTGAAGCCTTCCAACACTCCCCTGCCCTGTGCTCCTGCTCCCCTCCTTCCCAGCTTGTGCTTCTGTTCCATGTCACTCTCATATTTATGCTTGAGTTCTAGTTCATTGTTCAGTCCTCACAGCCACACAGGACCTTCCTCATTTCTGTCCTTCCCCCAACCTTCCCTGACACTTGTGACAGCCTCTGGTAGACAGGCTGCAAAAGCCTGAAAACGAATCAACCTGTGCCAAGGAGTCTTTAATCCCAGGCAAGGGAATGAGAAATGGGGACTTCATGCTGAGGCACTATCATCCTGAGGTCAAGTTGGGAATCCTTCCTTGTATCTATTTTGTGATTTTATAGGTTCAGTTCTAAAACACAGAAATACACATTTGTTTGGTGATGCTAAAGAAACATACACACTGAATTTTGTCTGGTAATAAATTGAAAGACTGATACCACTACCTCTTTTTTTTTCTTGCTTAAGGATTAGCCTTCCAGATCTCCTAACTTTCATAACCAAAGTAATGTCTTACCCAATCCTTAGATATCCAGTCCTTTCCACATACTGCTAGGGTGTGCAGATTACCTCTGCATGTTCTCCCCAAGTCCAGCCAGCCCAGGCCACAGCCGTGTCTGAGCAAGGACTGACAGTGTGGAACCTTTAGTGCAGCCTTCCATGCAGGGTAAGTAGAGATGAGCTAATGCTGAGCCTGTAGAAATTGTAATCCGTATCCTGGGTTTTGAGTGCTTCTGCCCCCCTCCAGCTATTCATACAGACATTAATTCTAGGTTTCTGTCACACTCAGGGCTGAACCTGGTGGTAAAATACTGGTGGTATAGTAACTGCAGAAAGGCATATATCATTTCCTTGTCAAAGTAGTTGTAATGTCCTCTTTCAGTGGGCATGATACATTAAAGAAAAGATAAATTGTTATAGGTCCAAAAATCTGTGGAGTCAACACATGCATGAGAAAGAAACATTTTAAACTTTAATCATTTTATCCAGAAGCAAATGTATTTTTATGGCTTACAAGCAATGGTGCTAAATCGACTATGAAGCTGTAATCTGTAGAAAAAGAAAGTCCCCACAAAAACTGCATTCCCCTGGTATGAATCAGGAGGTACACTAAGAACCTCAGTTTTGAGGGGGAAGTAGTGGGGTGGTGGGCTGGGGAAAGGACCTGAATGCAAAGAAAGAGGTCAAGTGGCCTGCTATGGAGCTGTGATGCTGGGCCCCCTAGGAATGCAGTCTGGAAAGTAAGTCCTGGCCTTCCTGGATACCTGAGAGTATGAGGGATTAGAGCCTGTGGATAAAGAGGTCATGAGCCTTTCTGCACATCCCCTGTGTTAAAGAATGGCCTCTGTGTTTCCTGCTTGTGAATGAGATCATCTTTGGTGAGGTCTGGATGATAATAACTAACCCTTTTTTACATGTTTTCTATGCACCAGGAGCTTTGCTAAATACTTTTTAAGGGAATATGTTCTTTAATCCTCCCAACATCCCTTTGTAATAGGTGAATAGGTGCTATAACTCACTTTGCAGATGAGGACACTGGTCTGAGAGGTTAAATCATTTGCCCAAGACCAACAGCAGGTCGTGGTAGAACTGGGATTGGAACCCAGAGACTGTCTGGCTACAGAGCCTGTACTTTCCTTAACCACCATGCTTTTAAATAGCATTTTGTCCTAATGAAAATTGATGGTGTAACATGTCCAGAAAGTTCAGAGAAAAAAAAAAAGCTCTGATTCACCAGGGGCTCTGGGAAAGTACCCTTGATCTTGGTTTCCAGTCTATAAAAAAATGATTATGCCATTCTTTATCTGCCCACTCTGCAAATGTATTTTCAGGATAATGAATTGGTCAGCAGGGCTCTGAGAACCTTAGATGATTGAAGATGCTTAAATAATGAGCAAATGAATTCCCAGGTCCCTCCTCAAGACTTAAATCCCCAAACTGGGGACAGCTTTCCTCCAAAAGCCAGTTCAGAGTTTTAACAGCAAATTTCACATGCATTCTAAGTCAAACCAAACCACAGAAGGTCTTTGTGGATACTGTTAGGGCATTTCTGCACTGAGTTTCCCCTCCCCCACAAGGCAAGCAGGGTGCCCTATCTGGGGAGGTGGGTACTCAACCTTTTGTCTTGAGAACCAGTGTTCCTCTCCAGCTGGCCTTGGTGAAGAGTTTGGTAAAGTGGGTGAGTTGACTCTGCTCCCTTACTCCCTATCTCCTCTGTCACTTACTCTTAAGACCTGCACCACTGGGCCCAGGTTTTGCAGTGAACCCCAAAGTGGTTTTGAATGGTTGTATGAAAGGATTAATTTGCATCATATTTAAAAAAACTTTCATCCTTGAAGCCAAGCAGGTGGTATTCCAGTGTGTTTTTGCAGGGAAGTTATGAATTCTTTGCTGTAAACTACAGTGCAAGTGACATTTTTGAAAATTTCAAGGAAAATAAATACAAGAAATAGATGGTTTGGAAATTATCATATAGTCATAAGGGGAAGGTATTATGGAAAAATCCAGTAAATTTATTGAGAACATAAACACACACACTTGTCCTCTTTGATTCAGTAATCTCATTATCACATTTCTGGGAATTTATCCTTAAGAAATTATCCCAAATCAGGAAATTAAGATGTTCATTGTATAGTTATTTATAATAGCAAAATATTTGAAATAGTTAGCTAAATATGCCCTAGATACACAGACACATACACACCCTGATAGAATAGGTATTTATTAAACATTAAAACTATAAAAGCCATGGAACAACTTGAAAATGCTTATTTAATAAAGGAGAAAATACAGATATACAATAATGACACTGCACCATTTAAATTATAAATTTTTTCATTTCTATAAATTCAGTTTGGTTTGTTCTCAACTCTGCTTGTTTATATTCACACCACACTGCTCATTTCTTATAGTCACTATTGCTTCCATTATCTCCTTAGCATCTTAAACATACTTCCTTGAATAACTTATTTCAGATTACTCTTAGGTACAGATTTTCATTTGCTGTGCTGTTCATTTCCTTGGGTCATCTGTAAATTTTCCTGTGAACGCTACTTTATCTTCTCCAAGGGTGGCCATCTGTGGGACTCTGCGATTCCCTGGCCTGCAGGCATGTGGTTTTGCTCTGCGTCTGCCCAACCCCCATTTCAGTAGTCCCTGGTAGATAGTGCAATTTCTTTTCCCCTTTCCTGGGATGGTTTATTTTGAATTGGGTATAAATCCTAAATTTGTGCAGAGAGCTGGGTTCCATAGCAAGGGCCTGAGTGTTGTCCCTTTTCCCTAAGTGGTTAAGCCCCCAGCACCAACCCCTAAGCCTTTACTAATTCCCTGCCCATTGAGCCTTTGGGTTAAGCTCTCACCAGTTGCCAGGGGCTGCTTTGTTCCCAGCACCTAAACTTCCTTTCCTACCCTCAAACTCTGCTGTGCATTACCAAATTGTTAATGCTTTACCCATCACTTCCACGTTTGTAGTGGGATGTTCAATCCACCATATTGACGGAAGTACTTACTTTTCGTTTACTGTAACAGTATGGAAGTACATGTGCATATTGTCAGAGACTGGAAGGGACTTTGAAATTGAAATGTTTATGGGTAGAGATAGTGTGTTTATAGTAACTATTTTTCTCTATTTTGCAAATATTCTGTATTATCATTATATTGTCTTAAAGCAATAATTATAAGAATCACCACCTTTTCACTACTGTGTTTGGTTTCAGAATGCATACACTACAACTGCCATTAATGGGACAGATTTTTGTACATCAGCAAGAGATGCGCTCAAACTCTTATCCAGGAATCCAAGTCATTTTACATCTGTTAACTGTTTTGGAGAATTCATCATTTTTCTAGGAAAGGTGAGATGTCTTTTGTCACAATAACAAAGGAACCTGGAATACAAAAATTAAGCCACACAACAAGGCTTTGAAAGAGAACTCACGTTTCTTGAGTGCCTTACTCAGTGGTAGATGTTTCATTCTCTCATTTAATCCTCAGTCCTGTAAGACATCCTTATTTTTCAGATAAGGAAACTAAGTTTTAATAACTTGTCCAGGATCCCACAACAGGTAGAACCAGGACTGGAATCCTGTCTTACTCTCTTAGCTATAATCAGTTCTACCTGAGTCCCACATTCTTATATCTAAAATGAAAATACTACAAGCCTCTGAAAATGGGTATGTTTTGTGTGTGGGGGGGGTTGTCATAAAATACATAGAAATGGTATTGAAACCTTATGTCTACATTATTTAAGGATATTAAGTAAATAAATATAAAGGCAGAACTGTTAATGTTCCAAATGGAGACAAAGTTACATTTCTGCTGTCATCTGAATAGTTTTTCATTTAATTGTATTCAGTCTCATGGAGCAAAGGAACATCCTAAGAGTTCCAACATCTCATGGTGTAAAGGACAGGCCCTGAACTTAGGATCTTTCACAACTGTGAACTTCAGTCTTCATATCGATGAACTAAAGAGAACACATGCCCTTTCTAGGTTGGAGGGAAGATTAACTGAAATATTGATGAAAGTGATGCTCCAGCACCTACTTGACTGTGTTTTGAGTTGCAGGTTCTTTACAGTGTGACTCTTCCCGTGTACTTGTCACCCAGGAGCCTAATTCTGCCCACCTCAGTTTGCCTGATCCCACTTCCACTTGACTACCCTTCAAATTCTTGACCACAGATGTCCTGACCTTCCCCCCACATCTTCACTATTCCAAGCTAGTATCCCTGCTTCTTCCGTCCATTCCTCTGTGCAGGACATGAATGTGGTGCCCCAAAGTGAACAAGATCTTGGTCTCCAGTTGTGACCTGGCTGATGCCATGTATGGCCTCTGGGCTCCTTGTTTAGCATTTTGGGCCTCTGTGGCATTTGGTATGTGTCTCTGGTGCATTACTATCATAGCTAGCTGTCAGTAACAAGTTATAACATGCCTAGATTTCACAGGTGCATGTTAATTGCAAATATATTTAAGGCTCAGCTGGCCCTGAGACTTTTTATGCAACCATTAGCTCTAGAAGCACAAACTGATTATGCCTTTCAAAATAGCCTAAATAATCTAAGTCATGGTTGTAATTAAATGGATAAAATTGTATTAGCTTGGTAAGACTTTGGAATGAGGTTTCGTCTTGACAAGAGACTTATCTTTTATTTTAGGCACTAATTCATTTTCCTGTATGGTACACGTAATTGCTAATGAGCTTCTAATGAGCATGCAATGACCAGTGATTCTTTGGTTTTTTTAATGAAGTAGCATTCAGACATTCATGTCCATCTTTGTGGATATGTAAGGGCAATGAGGATTCCAGATGGGCTCCATTTTGTCTGTTGAAGAATTAGGTACATCATACCTATAATCATGTTCCTGGAAATGTAACAATTATATACAGCAAAAATTGGGCATAATCCTATTATCTCCTCACACCAGCATTGGAAAACCCTTTCGTTTTAATCCCCAGGGTAAAAATAATCATACATTAAACTACTTTATATCCACTCAGTGGACTGTTGCTCTGTTATTAAAAAATGGCATTTACACAAAGTTTTTTAATGAAGATGCTTATTGCAGTACTAAGTGAAAAAAGCAATAAACATTTTGTGAAATGTCCTTATAACTACATAAATACAAATACTAGGCACAGATAAAATGAAAATACATCTACTCTCTCCCCCTCCACATTAACTGTATTTTCTTTGGTAACATAGCTGTTCATTAAGACAAATTTTCTGACAAGCATTCTTTGCAATAAGGCACACACACTCATACATGTATATGAAACTATTACTTGTAACAAAAGATCTTTTCTAGAATACTCTAACCAGCCAATTCATAAAGAATTCAACAAACTTTTGTTTTGCAGGTGTTAGTGGTGTGTTTCACCGTTTTTGGGGGACTGATGGCATTTAACTACAACCGTGCTCTCCAGGTGTGGGCAATCCCTCTGCTATTGGTTGCTTTTTTTGCCTACTTAGTAGCCCATAGTTTTTTATCTGTGTTTGAAACCGTGCTGGACGCACTTTTCCTGTGTTTTGCTGTTGATCTGGAAACAAATGATGGATCATCAGGAAAGCCCTACTTTATGGATCAAGAGTCTTTGGTAAGCCAATATTTCATGTCCGATTGCAGTGTGCATCCTCACAGTGTCTAAAATGTTTTTGACTCACACCTAAAGAAGGCTGGTACCTAACCTTATTTTCTCTTCAGGAGGGTTCTGTGTGCTTCTACCACATGGCCTCCATGTCCTGAATGTACTGAGAGTGAGATTCAGGTTCCGTGTTCCAAGGCAGAATCTACACCCCTTATTGAAGAGAACACCCCAGGACAGAAGAGAAGCTGAATAATTAACATTGACAGGACCTTAGGGAAGTGTTCTGGACCCAGTATCAGGCCCTTGCTAATGGCCTTTTGAATGGTCTGGAGGTTTAATAATTGATCTTTTTCTAAAGCTTTTTGCTTCCCTAAGTGTCGTATCATCCCCTTTGTGTTTTAAGGAGCACACACTCCAGTGTAGACCAATCACCTTCTGTGCCAGTGATAAGATGTGACTCTCAGGCCCTTTATTGACCACGGCACGACGTGAGAAATGCCACACCCTGAGGAGAGCCCCGGCCTGCCTCTATCTGGAAATAGCAGGCAGCTGTTTCCAACAGCTTTTGCAACACAGTTGTTGCTTCTGTGCCTTATCCTGTGTAGACAGGGATATTTTAACAGCTGAATGGTGTCTCTCATCATTTTCCGTTGTCTGGGTCAAATGATGTTTTAATTTTCTTTCATTCTGTTGCCCTAAAACCTACTTCAGTTAAAGCCCTTTGCTTTTCAACAGTGCATCCAGAGCAGTCTTCAGTTCAGCCAAGCACTGAAGTTTAACGAGCACTTCCATGCTTTTGGCATTATGCACCCTCATCCCCTTCCACATAAAACATAAAAATACAATTCCTCAACTTACTGGTATGCATTCTGAAAAAAAAAAATACTTCTCAGGGTGGTAGGAAGCTAACCAGGTTTTCTTTCCCTGATTTGCACTTCCCTGATTAAAAATCCACTTTGAAATCTACCCCTCAAAATATTTTAGTTCAACAGGGAAAACTTTCTGAAAGGATTAAATTCCCCAAAATGATTATGGCCAAGGAAGTCGCTGCCAGCAGTGCAGATACCTGACGCTGGCCTCATTTTTTCATTTTTCAGAATTTTGTAAAAAGAATCAACAAACGAAGTGACACAAAGGCACAGAGAGACAAGAACTCATTAAGGAGTGAAGAGGGGACAGAACTCCGGCCCATGTGTGACAGGCGCTCATGAGGTATCTGTACCTGGAAAAAGTTGCCCTTTAAAAGCCATTCAAAGAGAGAGACCTGAACTTCATTGTTTCTGTCCTTATTGTTTGACCACGTTACAACACTAGATCCATAAAAGTTTACAACCTTTTTTGTACCAGCTGGCCAGGAAAACTTTTGAAGACCATGTTCATATGCATCAATGAAAAAGCACACTATGTAAAGATTCCCTTCAGGGCACCAAGGACAAGAACCCTCCTCACTCACAACCAATAAATAAACCTCAGCAGAAATCTTTGGAATGCGGTCACAATATGGAGCAGGACTCTTCTCTATGCTTCCAATCCTGGAAATGTGCTAAATACGTTATAGCTTTTCGAAGTACAATTCTTAGATTTAATGACAATAAAAACTAAGAGTTTAACCGAACTACCACCTGATGAGCATGGTGTAACGCAGGGACAGACTTTTGACCAGGTATGACTTAAGTTTGCTAAAAGAACAAGGCTACTTCTTACAAATTAGCAAACTTTCTGGAAAAGTGGTTTTTCTGCCACGACCCCACCTGAGAATCGCGTGGAGGATTTTGAATACTCAGGCCTGGACCCTATCCTGAATTTAGATTCAGTAGTGGGGTGGAGATGGTGGGGGTGTTGGGGCTTTTCATTTTTTAAGGTTTAAACAGGAACATTTAACATGCCTGGTTGACAGTCTCATTTCAGTTAGGTGACTAGGTAAACAGGAGGACCAGTCTGGCTATTTGGCAGAGCAAGTGGTGCAATACAAGGCTTCCCTAAATCTGTCTTCCAAATTGGCAAGAAACAGTTTGTTAGCTCAGGTCTACTTTAATAAACTCAAATAAACAACTTCTTTCTTAAACAGCACCATTGCATTAGTTGAGATCTAAGAATCTCCTTTAGGAAAGGGATTCACAGAACAGTTTTGCTGAAGCATTAAACTCAGTCATTGTGGCATGAGCAGCAAGTAGATGGTGCTCTTATGGGTGCATGAAAATCCCACTATGTCTTTATCATCTGCCTTAGCAAAAACAAGCAGGTGTGTTGCACACCCAAAGACTAACAGAGCCAGTCCTATCAGAGGAAATGGGACCACTTGGCTGAGAAAATGTCCGTGTGTGTTACCAATTATCTCGTGGTGATCGGAGTTTTGTCATTACACCACTTAGCTGTTTGACCTTCTCTCTGTCATGACTGAAGGCTAGGTTTTTTTCCTCTTCCTACTATAAACCCTTGTTTATTATCAAACAGCATTCCCTCTTCCTGATCCAATGTGTCGTCTTTTTAATATTTACCCTAAGATGTAGATATAAAATACCCCCACCCTGTTCACACCAATGTCCCTGACAATGATTTTAAGATTATTCCAAGTTGGATTTAAGATGAATTTGGGACAGCTGAGTCACAATGGAATAAGCAAGGATCAAATAATAGTTTGACTCCTGGCTGTCACTTCCTCTGCGCTGTGGGCAGGTCTCTTCATTATTCTAAGCCTCAATCTCAAGCATAGAATGCATTGTTATATAGAGTAAGTAAAAAGAAATATTAAAGTCTCCCCTAACAGTACCTGAGAAAGAATATTTAAAAAAAAATCTGTCTGGAAGTTAGCCAGAAAATAATCAGCCTATGGCTCATAGGAATGTTCAAAAAAAAATATTTATTTATAAAAAATACAATGGGATAAGTTTATGCTGAGAAATGCAGCAATAAATACAGTTGAAGGAAACAGAGCAACTCTACATTGATACATTGGCACAAACAGGAAGAGCAAACGCACCGCCCAGACCTAACTGTCTGCGGGCCGATTTTATACACGCTCCTTTAGAAACACCACTCTGAAAAGATCTTGTCAGCTTGGGTAAGAATAAGTACACATTTAATCACAAATGCACACTGATCATGACTTTATTTAAAAATCAGCAAAACAATACTGTAAAAACATTGCTATGTAAATTTCTAAAATGCTGCATCTTAAATTTAGTTGGCAAAGACCACATTTAACTATAAGCACGAGTTTATTAGTCTTCCATGTAGAAACCAGATACCAAACTGGAAAAAAAAAAAAAAATTTGAAAATACCAGTTTAAGAAGATTGTAAAAATGCATAGATCTTCCATTAAGGTACTGGCCGTCTCACAGTACTCCCCTTTCACAGTATTCCTTTTCACTGTGCATGCGAGTTACTGGCTATGCTGTAGGATTTAACTGTTACAGCACTAAAAGGCAACTATTTAGGGAAGAGGCAGGAAAAGGAAGAGGGAATGTATGTAAGGCAATATTTCTTTTAGATACAATAAGCATAAGAGTGTTTGAGGAAGACAAGATAAAAATTACTCAAGGCTAGCTTGTTTCTCAGTGAATAAAAAACGATGGGCTAAATACTGAACTCCTCATGTGACTAATAATCAATGCCTTGGTCACCGTACTGGTAATCTCTGGGGTAGTCATCTTGGTACTCGCCATGATACTCATCGGGGTATTCTGCCTGATAATCACTATCACTGATTTCCGACCCGTTCGTTCCTGTTCCTTGGCTTCCATTGTGAATGACAGGTTCTGTGGGAGCAGCACAGTATTTGGGGTCATATACTTGCCGCCCAAGCCCGTACACACTCATTCCTTTCTGGGAGGCAACTTTGTTGGTACCCATCTGTAGGGAAATTGTCGAGTTGTCCACTGGTTGTAATGTTAGTTTCTGATCGTAGATGTCTCTTCTGGTACCTGGTGCTAACATCCCTGCCTGGAATTAGAACATAGCATAAACATTACACATCTATTCTTGTATCTCATATATTATGAATTGATTTACAGTGAATGTGACACTAATATAAAAGCATTCATTCGGTTCAAGGGTAAAGTTGGCCTATTAAAATACCCCAATGCCAAGTGGCTTATGAAGTTGTATTCATTGTCTTTCGGACTAGGTTGGCCCTGCCTTCGACTCCCTGCTATGCTATAAAATTGCAGTGTGGACCCAAACAAGGTAACTTAGTTTTAGTTTTAGTTTTCTCATATGCAAAATAGAGATAAGACCACCTACTCTGGGTTTAAGAAAGAATTAGACATAACATAAAAACAGAGTGCAATGCTGCACACCTGAAAGTTACATTTGAAGGCCTACTTATGACCATGTACACTTTTCAGTTACCGATTTCAAACCTTGTAATACGTTCAACAGAAACTATGCTGAGCAGTCTTGATGGACTTGAATCTTTCAAAAGGCTCTGAGACGCTGTAGAGCCAGGCACTTCAGAGAGACCACTCCCCTCCTTCTCAGACTACAGTAACTCATACCTCATTCCTCCTTTTATGCCAGGCACACACTTCCTGGCAGCTAGGATAGAGACAATGCCACACGGGCAGGATGTGTACCATAAAGGGCAAAGAATAACTCATCTGGACGTCATTAAGAGAAAGATTTTTCAAACTTTATCTCCATTCTTGTTCAGTGAGACCTGTCTCCTGTCTGCTCCCAAATGGTTATAGGAACCTCCCTGCCAAATGCTGGTGATCTCTTTGTAACAAGGCAACAATTCTCTCTCGTGTGGTGTTAGGATACTGGTATTCTCACCATGCTGCACTTCTACCCACTTATACTCACACATTTAGCAGGATGCTAGCTAAACAGTTCTCAGCAGAACACCAGATAATTTACCTACCAAGTTAATTAAGGGCTCCTTTAAGAAAAAAAAATTAAAAGAAGTATTAGAAATAAGCAGTTTATTTGCATCTGGAGCAAGACCACTATAATACACGTCTTTTTTCTTCTGATTAGGTAGAAAGGCCAGCTGTTCTGCCAGCAAAAGCCATGAGCCATACCATACTGTGTTGCTGCAGGAAAGGTCCTTTGATTCTTTCACTTTCTTAGCAAAACCTACTTTCTGAAGGAATATACTCTAAATATACCATACAAAAAAATACCTACTTGGAACATAGTCAATAAAAAAGCGAGTGCTACTTTCAATAACCCTTTTGTACTCTGGCTACAAGGAGAAAAAGGTATTGCTCACCTGGCTGGCTCCTTTATTGGTGCCCATCTGCAGGCTAATCGTGGTCTGGTCAAAAGGTTTGTCAGTTTGCATTTTGGGATCATAAAGATGCCTCCTAGTCCCATAGGCTGTCATACCTGCCTGGCTGGCGCATTTGTTGGTTCCCATCTTTTAAGTTAAAAATAAAATTAGCGCTAATTATATCAGAAGTTCACAACACATACAATACAAACAAAACTTTCTGTTCTACTGAAAATATAGAAGGGGCACAATTGAAAAGTCCCTCCCTGTGCTGAGGCTGCAGCCTCCTAGATCCAGAATCTCCTCCCTGCTTTCACAAACATATTTCAAGGTGCTCACTCTGAGAAATATTTCAAACAATTCATTGGATATAAAACCTCATGACATAATTAACCCTATAAAAACATGCACACAGGAAGGAATGGATAGACACAAAAAGTTATTTAACAATGGCAGAATTATGCATAAGTAATTTCCCCTGCACTCTTCCCCCACTGTGTGGCACAGATAACCATATTAAGGGGTACCTGTTTTTCCCATTTAAAGGGACAGAGGCACCCGTGATAGCTAGGCAATGTGCTTTCTATTCAATAGGTTTTGCATAAAATGTGATAGCAAAGGTGTCTTCTCTAGCAGCTTAACAAGGTTTTGTTAAAATTTCATCAAAACTACCAACATTTTCACAGGAAAAGAACCACATTTTATTCTTCTAACTCTCTTGTCTCTGTACAGAGAGAGGCAGAATGAGGACTCTGAACTCAACAAAGTTCAGAGGAACAATAATTAACTTCTTACTCAGTGAGAATAACGTGGCTTCAGGACCAACTAGTATTCCCTGTTCTACTGGTTGGGGACACATTCTACTGTTGGTCTTTTTTTTCTTTCTTTCTCTTTCTTAAAAAGATTAAAGGAAAATTATTTTTACTAAAAGTAAAACCTGTTCTTCAGGGGAGATGCAGAAGACATATAAGCAAAAGGGAAAGGGAGAGCTCTCATCCAGATACTTGCTGTAAACATTTGTGTGTATTCTCCTAATTATTTTACCTATGTGTCTGTGTATATATATCTATAAATACACATGCATATACATATATACAGAAATATTCTGTGTGTCTTTTACATAAAATTGTGATTACACTGACCATAGTATTTTATAACTTGATTTATTTTCCTTCATCTTTACATTCTTGTCTATCATTTGTACATTACTAGTTCCTTTTATGGAGTTAATCATAATTTAATCAACTACTGTTTGGAAATTTGAATTTCCAGTTTCTTACCACTGATACAATTTTGTACAGTATAAAAAATCCACCTTATACTACTGACTCAGTCAAGAGAGGGACAGTGTATCAGGGACAGTGTATCAAGCAGGTATCAGATAGTAGTGCCCACAGCATATTGGGCATTGAGCAATGGTGTTCTCCAGGGGAACAATGCGAACAGCAAAGAAATACCTAAATGAAATACTTTCCAGGAATTAAACTGACAAATCCTGAAAGTGCTTGGCTGCTGTATTGTGCTTTTACTACCGTAAATAAATGACTCTGGCATGAGACTTTATAAAAATGCTTCATATGATCATGTTTAGGGATTTATAAAGCACATTCTCTTGAAAAAGAAGACAATGTAACTAGGGGAGAAAATATTTCCTGGGTAAATACTGTTAAGTTAGATGGTGTGCTTGAGGTTTCTTCTAAAACCATCATCACTGCCTCATGAGCTTTGAGTGGATATAAACTATATGAACCACATATCCATCCCCAAAACTGATATTATGGTGTATCTATCTATTCCTTACTTATGAGAGACTTTCATGGTGAGAATTAATGATACTGAACAAGTGACCAATGAAGCACTGTCACATTACTTACCTGCAAACCAATCACACTTTGGCCAGCTTTTAATTTTCCTTCATCAAAACGTCTTGTTTGCTTTTCTGCATACTTAACTCCAATGTCAATGGTTGTGTGGAATCCTTTTGTTTTAGCCTAGACAGAAATATGCACACTAACTGAAAAGGAACACTTCAATGAGGATGCTGCAACAGAGTTTTACAGAACAAAAAACAGTTGATACCATCCAAAGATGAAGACTTCATTAGGTAAGACTCAAACTACGAGTTAAAAAACATGTTTAAAGCCACTCAGTAATACACTGTACTGTACCTCTGACGTGGGAGTATTCTAATTAAGCTAACTTGTATGAGGCAGCTGATGTCAACAACCATTCCACAATGCTAATATTTATGGACGAGACAAGAGCTCCTCCTGCCTCATCTCAACCCCCAAGGGAGAGGTAAAGATGCAATTCATTACCAACATGCTGAAATTTTTAACCAGCCACTAGGACATATACGTACCAGACCTGCTAGAGCCACCAGTGTCGTCTGAACCTGGGTCATGTTTCCATTCTCAAAAAGATCATTTGCTTCAAATATATCATGTGGCTTCATACCGTAAGCCTGAATAGCTTTAATAAAGTTGCCAATATTCTCCAACTAAAAAGAGAAAGAGTCATATAACTTTTGGAGCAAAATATTGACATTCTGAATTCTAAATTTTCATGTCCAGTTAAGAAGAAACCAGGCAGAAAGCTACTTGGCAAAAATTCTTGGCCAGATACATACTAAGTATGGCTCTCTCTGGAAAATGAGCGAAGAGTGTTTCATAGTGGGTGACATAATAGTCTTTCTAATATTTTTAAGTAGTCAGATTTTTTCAGTTCTTTAAAGGCAAGCTCTTCCTTACATGATTTTAAGAAGTCTGTGTCAGAGCTATCCAAGACCCGGAATTTTCTTTATCAAAAGATACATAATTACTCACATTGAGAAGTGACTAGTGGTTACCAAGGGAGAGGGGGTGGGAGATAAAAAGGGCACAGTAATTCACAATCACAAGTTGAACTCAGGGACTGCTGAACCATTGTGATGTACATTTGAAACCAACATAAGACTATATGTTAATGATACTTTAATTAAAAACTAAATTTAAAAAAAGATACATAATTACATTAAGAAATAATTTATTGTATTTTAATATAAAACTAAATTTGTGGTCACTAAATGCTGATTCTCTTCTATCTCAAATATATACTCAAAATGTCCAATTTTATTTAATACATATCCGTGACCTAAGACTGTCTTAATACAGTGTTCTACAGTCAAAGATAGTAGTTATATTAAATTTTTTGCTTTTCCCCTCCTTATCCTCAGGGTCTAGGTTGTTATTTCTCTGTGTAAGCTGTGTCAAATTCTCTGAGAGTAGACAGACTAAATACACAAAAACTTCTGAACTAAACAGGGAAACATTAAAAATAACATGGTAAAAAAATGTAGCCACGTGCACAAATGTCTGCTAAAACGTCTATTTTAAAACCATAATCAAGTTTTCCCTGCATAAAGAGGAAACAACTAGACACAGAGGTGGCTGGCTTGGCTCTTACCTGAGGCCAGTTTAGCGAAGACTCATTAACCTTCTTCACTGAGCCTGGCTGTAGCTTGTTTATGAGTCTGAAAAGAAAAGTGTAAGGGACACCTTATTTATTGGTCACACAGAATTGGAACGGAAAATTGGTTCCTTTAACATCAGTAAAGGAAGCATTAAAAGCATTGTTTAGAATATCAGTGCTTGACACCTGGAGTGGGAAGGAGGCTAAGACAGGCCTGTGGATGGACAGAAAGAGCTGAGCAGCCAGATCAGGGCCCAGACTTACTCGCAGAGGATTATGCCATCTTTTAAGCCCAGCTGAAAGTTGGTGCCAATGCTCATGCCTGTCACCTCTTCTATCCAGTTGCGAAGATCTTCTTCTGCCTGATGGTCATACTTGGAAGCAATCTGAAATACAAGTTGACCAACTTTGGAAGAATGTTCACTAAAGCATCGAAAGCTGCTGACTTATGACTTGCTCCACTTTAATTATCCATCAAGACCACAGCTGTGACATGGAGTTAATTACTCTTACTGGTGTTCATTGGTGAACCTAACCAACAACTACAGCTCCAGTAACTAATAAGCAATTTTTGATTAAGGCAGTGTTATACAAAATTTGAACAGCACGTGGAGAGAAGCTAGGACTGAGGAGAATATACAGATCAAGACAAGACAGATATCCACTCATGACACACTGGAAGTGACAAAAGTTAATAGTGTATTACCATATGGCACTAGCCATGTTAAACTTTAAAGATCGTCACTAATGACTACTTTCCAAAAAAAGAGGGTGGTAAGATTCTGACACATGCAACTATTTTATACAGCATCTCAATTGGCCAAGACATGTCAGTCCAATAGTTTTGTTGCCTGGGAAATTCTGCTGTTTTCATGCCATCTGTTCAGCCTAATACTCACTACACACATAAACACACTCCTCAGTACCAATTATTGTTATTTACAAAACTGTTTATGTAGTCTATATCCCATTAGACTCCTCACAGAAGTCACTTTGGGACACTTACACCTAATATTGTATCTGATAACCAAATATTTAATGAAACTAAAAGACAATGATTAATTCTTTACTTACAGAATTCTACAATACATGTAACTTACCAACATAGATGCTATGCAATTTACATATTAAAATTTCCTATTAAACACAGGTTTTAAAAGATCCCTTCCATAATAAAACCATAAACTTCATTTAAAAAATTATATAACTTACACAAAATATTGTTAAAAATCACATGCTCAAGTTCTTAAGCTATTCCTTGTCCTAAGATCCTTACGAGGCTGGTCAATCAGAGTTACTACGGAGAACAGCTGAGAAGAAGGAAGGCGTATATGCACGTTTTTCTCATTAGCACCTGTGAAAACACCAACAACATGCAGGCGATGCCCAGGGGGATGGAGGTCACCATGTGCTTGTAACTGTTACAGCACTGATAGGAGTAAATGGTAGAAATGTTTGCTTCCATAAAACATGATTAGGTTTAGTTACTGAAAGAAATGAAATGGCATAATGAAGCAGTCCTTCAAGTTCTAGTCTTCACCAGTCCCCGAGGAACCTTCTCTCCCTCTGCCACCACCAAGGGGCACGGCTTCTGCTTCCCCACAGAGGGCCAAGGATTTCACTAATTACTGTGTCATGTAGGGACGGTAGTCCTTGATCAACTGCATTTTCCTCCCACTTTAAAGAAATGGCTCTATACCTCTTACAGAATGGGTAATTTATTTAAGCTGTAGATTTACTTAATCAGAATTACACGTGGAAATTCAGTGAGTTTATATTTTCATATCGAGATAACCAACACTGTGCACTGTTCCCTGGGCCAAATTCTGGCCTGAGGGTTAACTTATAAAAGATAGTTCAGGCACAACATAAAGCTAGTACCTAATATGTGGCAATTTCCTGCCCGCGGTATCCCCATGCCCTACAAACCACCTATCTACTCTTGATTCCTGCCAGTCTGGGTTACGTGGGCATCTGGCTGTGGGAACGGGGAAGGAGGAGGTTGTGACGTGGGGTGCTTTTACCACAGGGGCACACCAGCCTCTGGTAAGCACAAATGAGCCATTACTCCTATTGTACTTCAGATAAATATTCTTGGATACTACTCCTCCCCCAACATATTAAACATATGTATTTATATAGAGCATCTTTAGAAAATGAGATAAATAATAAATTGGCAAAAAAAAATTCCAAGAGTTGATTGTATTTTCACACTGGAGTCTTGTTCTAGGTGGCCAGAAAAAGAAATTCTCCATATATAAACTGGTGGTAGGGGAGATTTGGACTGAACAGAACAGGCAAAGAAGAAACTGAAAAATGGTACTCTTTCAGCATTAGCTATGCAAAACAACCTCTAAGAGTGAGGTGAATTTTTTTCAAAAACTAAACACTCTCAACTAGGAGATGTGTTTCGATAAATCTAAAGACAAACATGATATGCTAGGGTAGGGGGCTCTGCCTTGGCCATGGGCCAGGCTCCATCCAGTGGCTACGGGCCATTGGTTAATTCACCTAACTTCTGACCCACTTCCTGTCTACACAACAGGAGACCGCATTCAGGGCCCGCACTAGGTCTCTTCCCATTCTAAGGTGTCTGAACAATTTGGTAAAGCAGCAAAAATTGTAAAGAAACTCTTTTCATTTTTTTTTTAAATGCAGAGACAGATGTTGTGTTGGGGGGGCTGGGGGTTTTTTGTGGGTTGCTTGTTGGTAGTAAGTCTTAAGTACGACCAATTATTATTCAACCAAAATAATATAAGAGCATTATTTATGCTTCCTTTGTTCAGAATGTTTCTGACAGATTCAGTGCCATGCCCCAAACCACAGTGTGATTACAGATCTAACTTGAAATATCCCAGTAGTAATGCCAGAGAGAAAATTACCTTCTCTGTTGACTGTTCTCATCACGGGATAATGAGAGAAAAATGAGGGACTGGAGTCAGATGGTTTTAAGGTGGAGCTCTGCACAGCTGACTCTGTCTCTAGACTTAATGCAATAGCACATACACAGAAAAATTTCCTAAGCACATACATGCAAAGCTTAAGACCCCAAGTGTTAAACTAAAAATGAAAACTAGGTATGCATCCACATTATGTAATTGCTGGTTTTGCTTAGGGCTTTCCTGTGAGGAACCACATCAAGGATTTATCTACACAAATACTGCTAATATTTTTTAAATAAGTGAGCTTTCTGCAGTCAAGCCAGCTTAATAGAATTTAAGAATTCAACTTGTTTTTGTTTTTTTAAGTGAAAAAAAATTCTTATGAAATCACCTAGGAAGAAAGTGTCATTTCAAATTATCTCTTACCTTCTAGCTTGCAGCACTATTCCATAGGATGCAGAAAGCTTAAGTGTTTCCTTTAAGCATATATCAAAATACAACCCAAGCAAATATTATTTTCTTTACAGAGGTAATTTCTGAACACTTTGCTATACACATCTTAAAAAAAAATCAAAGGACTGAGAGCAATTAGAAGTAAAAAGTAACTTTTGGCCGATAAAATCTGTTCACTTTTTCCAACTCAAAAAAAAAAGCTTTAATTTCGAAACATCATGCACAAAATACTAACATTTTCTTCCTTAAGCTTAAAAAGTTAATCTTACTGTCTAATACGTCATGGAAATTTCACTCGAATTTGTTTAAAAATCATTCTCCAAGTTATTTATAAACATCATTTTCTTTACTCTTCTCCAAGATTTTTATTTGACCTTCCCAAGTGATTGCACAGTTTCTGCCTGGTTCTTTGAAGTTCGCAGCAGCCCGTTTCTTCATAGGCTCATACCTCCTTTCCGGAACAGCCAGGAATTCTCTAGAGCTCTGTCTGCCTCCCAGTCCTTCTCAGGTCAAAGCACACAGTGAAGGACTTGGGTATAGTCCCTGAGAAGAGCACCTGCTGGAGGCCTTCTCACTAACGCTGACGAACACCCCCTTGCCAGATACAATCAAAAGGCAAAGAGAGTGAATATTAAGGAAAAAGGTGTCCGGGGCCCTTGGCCAGTGGACCATCCTCCTGGCACTGAGTGCTCTGCCATCCTGCTCCTGCCCTACCACTGGGCAATCGCTCCACTTCCGGCTGCACCTGGGCCAGACTCAGCCCCTGGGGGGTGGGGTGGGGTGGGGGTCTTCGGCCTTCCTCCCTTCCCCGAGTGCTCTCCTCAAACCAGCTCAGAGCACCAGTCCAGAGTCACCCTCTGGTTCAAAGGGAACTCAACCCTTTCTGGCTGTGTGACCTTGCTTTTGGATTTCTAAAATAACACTAGTTAAATACGTAAGTGAGCAGAATAGAAGTGTGTCAAGCACACATTCTCAACGGGAGTGATGCTGTCCCCCAAAGGGGTGAAACCTGGCTCTTGTGGGGGGCAGTGAGAACAACCTTAGGCATCACAATGACTTGTGGCCCTCCCCAACAAGCTCTATTCACTTGTATTCAATTTGCGGGGTATCAGGAGGCAATTAGGATAAACACCTAAAAGACTCTTTGGGAAAGATGACGAAACAAAGTAAAACACGGCGCCAAAGTAAAAGGCACAGGTCTTTCTCTTCACACGTCTCTCCCCAATCCTACTCCCTTCCCAGAGGTGAGCTCCTGCCTGTCAACTGTCTTCCAGGCACTTGCACGTGTATTACAGGAACCAAGTTTTAAAACTAAAACAGCACTATGTAAGTATAAAACTATGTATGTATGTATAAAACTAAAACAGCACTAGAGTAAGATCTTCAAAAAAACATGAGCCCCCAGGGCCTATACTTCCTAAGAGTAGAGGAAGCAGCTGGATCAGATAAAAGCCTCCGCCTTGCAAAGAAACAGCCCAGTTCCCTCTCTGGCCCTGAGGTTTGAGACGTTTTCCTTAGAATCTCCAACAGAGGATACAGAGTAATGAGGGTAACTGAGCTTCAAAAAAAATCTCAACAACTGACCAGAAAGCAGGGCTTCTGCACTGTTTTATGGTGCTTCTCAGCATGAGCAGGGAGCGTTCAGTCAAAGTGCAATTTAGTGAAAAGATGGAGGTGCACCTGGCAAGAGGCAGAATAATATGTATGTACCCATTAACACTGTCCGATGGCCCCACTTCCACCCAGGAACATTCTAGAATCTACTGAAGAATGAAGACATGTCTTTCCCATATATTCCTTCCCACAATATATTCTTATCACAGAGCGTGTTAAACCTAGAAGCAGACAATTGTCTCTGGTGGTTACCACAATGTCTCCCAAATTTCAGCCATGCCTGAATGCTCTCTAGGCTCCCTGTTTAAAGCCACCAGGATAATCCAACATTACCCCACACTCTCTAAGTAAAATTATATTCAATGTCAGCTTCCCTCTCTCTTAAGTACTCCTTGGGTGTCACGGATTTATTTCTTCCTTCAACTTCTTCCTCCACTACCCCTTCCTTCTGTCCTTCCTGCACAGAGCTACTAAACCAGCCATGGCTCAAAGGCAAAGTCTCTGCCCTAAAAGCTTACCTTCCACTGGAAAGAGATAAACACCCACTAAATAAGGTACGTGAAGATATTTGCAGAAAAAAAGAACAAAGAACAAAGTAGGGTATTTAAAATAAAGGGAAAACTATGAGGGCAACCAGTCTGAAATAAGAAGCAAACAGATTTCCACCAGAAATATCCTGGTGCCGCTTCCCTTCTTTTGCTTTATCATTTGCCATTCTTGATGCCTCATGCAAAGCAATGAACAGACTTTAATATTCTTTTTTTCTTACTTGCCTTAACACCTCCCCTGTACCATGGGTCCTACAAACATGTAAATATTTTTGCATATTTTTTAAGTATTCACACTGGGGTTACAGCAGAGACTAAAGATCACATGCCTTGAAGTCAAACTAAAGAACTTCCAAAGCCTGTGTTCCCAATTCCAGTGTGAACTAGTAAGTAACTTAACCCTGATGACCCCATTTCTTGCAGGTAGTCAGTCTCCTTCCTTCCAGGGCCATTGTGAGGATAAAGCCTGTTCCATAGGTAAAGGAGGTGGGGGTTGCATCTCAATGCCTGACACATATCAGAATTAACAGTCTCCATTTATATCAGCTCGAGTGCAGAGGTACAGAGCTTTCTAGTAATTGAGCCCCTCCGCGGCCTGTTCACATTATTGTCTACAATATTGTCTACTTTCAAAAAGAAAGTTCCACTAGCAGGTAAGCTCATCTCTGACACTGTCCATTCCCATCTCCACTCATCTCTATGTTCATTCCTGCCTCTGTCTCTGCTCTTTGTAGAATGTCTTTGCATTCCAAACTCTCATTCTTTCTCAGTTATTGATGATGAAAAGGATAAAGTAACTTTTTTAAAGGCTGATTTGAAACTTATGATGGGTAGGGGTGGAAATTCTACAGAAAATCACTTTACATTTGGGACAATTATGTCAAGGTAGACTGCATGCCTTTATGAAGGTCACTACAGAATCTGAGGCTCATTCTGTGATGTGAACTTGCTATAGATTTGATGGAGAAGAACTACATATTCCCAAGCTACGGAACATCACATTTGCCTCAAGTGAGCCGGAGTGACACCTAAGAGCATTTTAAAATCAGGCGCTTCTCCCAGAGGTACAGCCAGATCTTCATGTCAAGGTATCAGCATATGGCACCCACAGTTTTTTCTTTTCACATATGTACAGCCAAATACATACAAAGACATTATAGCTTTAACGTAAGAATACTATGAAACTGACAAATTAAAGCTTTTAAAATAACTTGAGTTGGTCCAGTACCTACAGAAAACAGTTTAACTAACAAATGACAGGAAAACAACAAATCGACTGTCAATTTTGTCTTCTCTATCTCTACCTAGGCAACGACCTTCAGATTACAGTTTGGAACATACACAGTTAAAAGTGGATTTTCAAAGTTCAAATCTAAACAAGGAGGGAGTAAGCATAGAGGCTGGGTTCCCAGAAAAATCTAGAGTCAGAATAACAAATTTACACATGTATTCATTCAACAGTTCACTGTGTAGAAACCGTGGCAAATAACAAGAACCAAGAGATGGGCCCACTCCTTCCCCATGCCTCCCCAAAGGCGAGGGCCTGTCTACTACAGGCTCAGGAGCCTGGCAGTCATTAGAGCAGACACCTGGAGGGCAGATGTGCTTGGGTGGGGGGGCAGAGAAAGGCGGTCATCACCAGGAGCCAACACAGGTGTGCGAGGCCTGGCTAAGCACCTATGTCCTCGTCTTGAGGGCAAGGCAGACTACATACATCTCTGTACCCCTAGAGCCCATGCCTGGAGCAAACTGTGTATTCAATAAATGATTTTTCATCCACTGGTATTATCACCAGACCAGGGAAATGTCACAGATTTAAAGATCTACGTTGTTATGGAAAGGGATCTGCATTTGAATGCTGCTGGATTTTAGGGGCGTCACATCTCCTTGATCTACCCAATCTCGTAATCTTAGATGGATCACTAGGGACATATTTGTTTTACTTTCTGATAAAAGCCCTTATGTCTGTTGCACTCCTTAAGTCCAGTCTGGTAACCCTAGAGGCAAAGCCTGGCCAGAAACCACCACCACGCCCCCTGTGCTGACCCATGTCCCGACGGGAAGAGCCCCAGTGCTGTGACCTCAGGGCTCAGAGTTAGATCTGCTCTCTTCTGTTCTGGTGATTAGTAATTTGGAAAGTATTGGGCATAATTATTACACTTACAGAAAATTAAATTAGGAATAGTTAAAAAGAAATAAAATTCATATTCAGAAAGATCCTAGCTTAATAAACAAATTATTCAAGATACATGTAAAATCCCGCCTCAAAGTTCTAGAAGTAACTAGTAATGATTCCTCAGTAAACCAACTCTGCCTGAGAAAGCTGATGCTATCCTGATGTGCACAGGGACACAATTCTTTATAAAATACTATTGCATGTATTTTTTGTATGATCACAACAGCCCCATGAGTTAGCCAAGAAAAGGACTAATTGAAACAGGTGGTGTGAGAGGCATATATAAACTATAAAACCTTAGGCAACTATCACCATTGCTACTTCATAGAGAGGGAAAGCCCACTTGCCCAAGGAAGGGGCAGAACGCTGTGCCGACACGGCACTGGTCTATCTCACCAGGTGATCACCCTGATCAAAACAGAGTGAATGTGCACTTTGTAGTCAAACAAAGGAGTCAGTTAATAATCCCACAGGACCCTGGTAGGCTAAACCACATCTATGGCCTTCCTGTGACCAATTCTGGGTGCTGCACTCTAAAAGGAGACACAAACTGACATCAGTTTCTAGAAGGGGCAAACGGGACAGGGAAAGATTAGAAAAATCATACCCATCATACAGCCTATTATGAGAGACTGGCTAGCCAGGGGTGGCTATAGGTGACTCAGAGGGACTCTGGGGGCAGGAGAAACAGGCCAGGGCCATCTAAACATATAGACAGAAGTCATATAGAAGAGACAGTCAATTTATTCTGAAAGCCACACAGAGCCCAGGATAAATAACACAGAAATTCCAGGGAGCCAGACCACAGGTGTGCGGGAATGGAAAGACAGCCTGTGAGGCCACAGGCAGGACAAGACCCGTGAAATCCTGCTGGAAGACGTGCTCTAGTTCAGGAGGAGGGCCACGTCCTGCCAGGTCTTGGATTTTATGTTGCCTTACAGACCTTGCTGAAAGGGGATCTCACCTGAAGCTCCATGGGTAAAACGGATGGACACAGAGAAGCTCTGTGAGTCTCCGTTCTCTCTGCCTTCCCTCTAGAATGCTGATGGGTCCACCTCACTTGTCAACTCTTTGCAGGTATCTGGATAGTTTGCTGCTCTTCAGATTTTCAAGTACTTGTCTCAGCAGGCCTCTAGGTGCCTAAATAAGTTCTGTATCGGGCACATAGATAGCACTGAAAAGTTCTCTTTTTCCATAATTATAAGGGACATCATAGCAGTAACTTTTCTGTAGCCGTGGAATGTGTCCTCACGCCTCATCAGCTATTTAGCAAATTTACTTCCTAAGACAGACATGGAGTCCATTACGACCGGAGAAGGCACAAGCTCCACTTCCCCAGTCCCAAGTGTAAACTGCATTTACACAAAGCTCATCTCTACCCACCGGGGAAGCCCTCTCCACTCCCAGACCATGAGCCACATTCACCCAAGTGCTCCCAGCTGCCTTCCCCAAAACTGAGTCAAGGCACACTGCTCCCTGACTCTGGGCAACTGACGGCCCAAGGGTAGAAAGGAGGTGAGGAGAAACAGGACCCCAGCATTTCAGTCTCAGTCAGCCTTCAGGGTGCCCACAGCTCCTCCTGGAGACCCACATCTCTAGGTCTCAGATCGTGAATGCCTTTTCTGCTGACTACAGTAGAGTCTGTCCATCTGAGGGATGGCTCTACACAACCAGAAAGAACAGAGTTGAAACACCTCATTTTAAACACAGGGTAGACACTGGCTAGCAAGATTTCACAGGAGTCTTACAGGTAAGTTGACTGTGCAAGACACCATGGCCTTTTTCTCCTTTTTGAGAATTAGAGGATATGAAATTTCCACTAAAAATTGGGATGGAATTTCACATTTTCTCCTCTTAAAAAAGTTTATAATTTGCCTCATGGCATAGCAAAGACATAGGGTACTCAAGTTTTTGAGACCCTAGGTAAAAAGATTTTTGCTTCAGTTTGCTTTAATAGGGAATATGAAGAAAGGTACACAAAGGGAGGTTCAAACACCTACGTGCCACCAAGTCCTACACAAATGCCACCAAAGGCAGGACAGATGGAAACTAGCATCCAAGTTTCTTATATACTGATGCAAAGAAGGACATAGTCAATTCTAAGACTGATAGAGTTCCTAAACAAAAAAAAGTCAGTCTGAACATGGTTCCCTTTTCCAGTCCTGAAGCCAGCATGCAGCACCCTCCACATCTCCATAAAGCTAACTCGGCATTTTACCTGACTGAAATGCAATCTGAGAGCACAGAAAAGGAGGGAGAAAAGAAGTTCCCCTAGAAGCACCGTGTCCTCCATCAGAGCACTGCCCCTTGACACAAAGGTCTTGGAGACTGGGTTACGAAGGCTTGTTACAGCCACGCAGGCATGAAGAACCAAGTAAGCCCCATTTTCTATCCCTTCCAGATCAAGGGCCAAGGAATGAGAGAGAGCAGGACGCAGGCTGCAAAGGGGCCCCAGAGGGACTCAGCAGAGAGGAGCAGCTGAATCAACAGGGTATCCCACCAGCAGGCGTCAGCCTGGATCACCTCCTCCCATTCTTACTGCCTATACCACCGACATCAGTGGCCCCCAAAAAACAGTCAGGAGCAATGTAACCTCCTATTTCACATGAGAAGAGGAGCACAACAGTGGCACGGCTCAAGAGGGAGATGTCTCATCCACCTCGGTTCTGTTTTCCTGCTCCCCTTCGATGTTCCTTCTCAGCTTTTCACAGCATGCCCTCTTCCCTCTGCTGCCATGCCCCCATCCATGCCTCCCTTCATTTGGCCCATCGATGGGCACAGACTACCACTATCTTGTCCGAAACAAGCCCATCTTTGACCGAACCTGCTGCCAGTCTCAAACACTGCCATGTTTCTCTTTTATTCCATGACAAACCCCTCCATTTCCACACTTAGTACTTCTTCCTAGCCCCCTGGAAATTTGCCCTACTGAAGATCTCTCAAAGGTCACCAGTAACCTCTCAGTGGCCAATCCAGTGGCCTGCATCCAATCCCCCCCTGGAGGCCCCTCCAATCTTCCTCTGACTTCTTGTTAAAGGACACCCCCTGGAGATTCCCTCTCTGGTCTGCCTTCTCCTTTCCCCCCTGAAAGATGCCAATTCTCAGTTCTGGCTTGAGATTAAAATGGTTAGGAGCATGGGCTCTGGAAAATGAATGCTTGGATTAGAATCCTATCTCCACGCTTCAGTTTCCTCATTTGCAAATCAGAGATCAACAAGAGCACATGAGAGGGTTATTGGGAAGAATCAGTGTCTTAATTCATTTGAATCCTAAGAACTCAATAAAATGTTAATTCTTGTCTTTCTATCTATGCTTTGCTGGTCACTCCTATCCAGGTACCAGAAAATTTTCCTCCTTCAAATTCAATAGATCACAAAAACTAATCACTTAACATTATTTGATAGCCATTTTGATAAGAAATCATTTGGATGCTGTTATATTATCAAATGATTTGTAAAAGAGATGCCCTCACCTCTTTCCTGAGCCTCCTCCTGGTGCCAGCTCTCACCTGAGCCTGGTGGGGGCACCAGATGGAGTAGGAGTCACAGATGTCTGTGACTCAGGGCTTGATAATAAAGAACTAAAGCAAGTGACCTAAATTTTAACAAGGTCACTTTGATATAGTTTATTTTTTTAACATCAAAAAGGGATCCACCTTCTCTTTCATACCCTTGATGGGAAATATAAACTGTTTTTTTTTAAAAAAGCAATGTGGTACTACCTGTAACACATTTAAATGTTCAGTCAAAAGATACGCACTTTTCTACATAAGTACCTTTGAAGGAGATATCCACCAGTAAAAAAGTAATGAATAAATAATGGAAATCCACAGAACAAACTATAATTCAGTTTCTAAAACGGCCAAATAATACTCAAAGTTGTACAAGTAGTTGGGTGGAGATAAAGGGTACATGATACTTTCATTCCTTTTATATTTTGGTACTGTTTGCATCATTCACAACTATTTCATTCACAAAATAAGGACTAAAAAAGAGAAGAGGTTCTCATAGGCACTGCACCCCAAGCCAGATGCACTGCCTTCATGCAGAGATGACTTGTCCAAAGCTCATGGGCTCAAAAGGAATTCAGACCCATATCTGACTCCAAAGTCTAAAGCTTTATCACCCCCTCGACTTCCTCCCCTTCCACCTTATTAATCAAACCGAGAGCCAGAAACTCTGCATACGATACACAGAGTCACCAGCGTCACCAGCACAGGCAACTGGGCTGCCTGCTGGAAGAACTAAGAACAGAGAATAAGGTGCTGGCTTAGACTCTGTAGCTTCACATGAAGTCCTTTCAACTCAGGGAGAGGTGAGAGGCCCCCAGAAGTCACCATCCCTCTGAGACTCATGTCCCATGAGCACGCTGTGGAGCTGGAGGGGAGCACAGACTCAAACCAGCCCATGGGAATCTGTAGTCCCAAAGGACACTTCCAGCAAGGTTCAAAAGTTCATAAGATATTTGGCAGAGATGCCTCAGACTAAAACACTTTTTAACTTTTCCACTGGCCCCTATGAAAAGTAGCCTCCCAGCACATGCATGTTCTAGAAGGTCCTGTATGACAGACTACAGGTAAGGTGTCAACAGCAGAGCCGTCACTTAAAGGAAAAGAATGAGGAAAATTTAAAAATCAAGCCCAGAGGGAACATTAGAAATGAAAATCTTGGCTGGAAAAGCACATGCACGTGTGCATGTGTGGCCAAGGTGTGGTGGGGGTGAGGGATTTTTTAATATGACATCCAGGTCTCTAAAGAAAGGCCAGGAAAAGGCAGAGACAAGTGCACTCCGGTCCTCAGAGCGGAGAACAGGCCCAGTCAGAGGGAGGGACTGGCCACAGGTGGACTCTGAAGAGCAGCCCTAGAGATCCAGCTCACCACTCCTCAAGGCCAAGAGTTCTGACAAGCTCACAGCATGATGTTTAACATAGGTATAATTTCTCTACTCAATTAGAACTATGACTGCTATTCTATTTTTGCATGCAAAGTAGAATCACATGTTTGAATTATGAAAGACTTACTACATATGGTATTGATTATGTTCTCTCCTATTTCCTCCCACATGAAACAAAAGGAGGTAGGAAAAACTGCAGAGTACAGCACACACTCTCTCTGCCCATTCGTGGAGCCTTGTGTAGTAGGAAGCAGGCTGAGATCACTAAGAAAGATGAATGTCAGAACGGTGGGAAGGGGGAAGAAGAAACGACAAGGAAATCCTAGTCAGCCCTGTCTAGTCACTCCTCAGCGAGGATCCCCTGGAAAATGGGTGGGGGAAGAGAGGAAAACAGGCTTAAGTAATGTCTTACCCAGAAGAGTCCTTCCAAGCCCAAAGGGCCGCGTCCTTTCTCAGCACTGGCAACCCCAGTCCCGGCCCTCTACCTGCGGATTTACCTGCCCAGCAACCACACTCACACCCTGAGGCTTCCTGGTCCCTGGGGGTGGAAGGAAGACCTGGAGGAGTTCCCTCCCTACCTCATGGGGGAAAATCAAGAACTGGCCGCCTTCCCTACTCAGGGACTTCACTTCACACAGTTCTGGAGCCTTCCTACGACCATTTAAAACAGAAGGCCTTCAGTAACAACCCAGATTTAAACACTATAAGGCAAATATGTTTATGAGTCTGCTGTGGAGACATATGAGCCCTATCTGACACCAAGAGAAACATGTATCTTGTGTAACGGAAACTGATCTCTTAGTAAGAAGTCAAATAATAACACCATGCCCAGAAAGCAAGGCCTATAGCTCTACAAAGAAGTCCACAGCCCTGAAAGCAATACAGACAGAATGAGCACAGGACTAGAGACCCTGAGATTTCATGGGGGAATATGCAGGCTGCCGGGGGGGAGGGGTCTTGGAGAAGGACTCCAGGGGCAGCCCACAGTACTCCTCACACAGGAGTGAGACGCAGTGGTATTGCTTGGCATCTCATTGCGGTCCCCTACCTGCCAGAAGCCTCATTCAAATCAACAGATTTGTGAATGAAATTCCAAGTCCTGCAGATAATCTCAATATCTAGAAGACATGAGAAACTCAGGAGAACGTAGGAATGAACCTAATCCACAGAGAACGAGCCAGAAAAAGGAACAATGGCCAACATTACATAAGGTGTACTTTTTGTTCCAGGCATGGACTTCACATGGATTGTCTATCTTATTTCTCCATGTAGACACTTTAAATAGATTATCTATCTTATTTCTCCCAACAACTCTATAAATGGAGACATTACATTATCTTTATTTTACAGATGAGACGCAGATAGGTTACTTGCCTTAAGTCACAGAGTAAAGAGCAGAATCAAGATTAAAACCCAGACAGTCTCCACAGTCCATAATCTTAGCCACTTGGTTCTATTTCCTGACTAATAAGAACCTGGAGGAGACCCACCAGACATCTTCAGTTCACAAGAGTCCCACAGTCATATTTTTATAAAATTTG